GTGCACCAGGAACATACCGAGGCTCTCCGATCCTTTTCAGTGGAATAGGCAGAATCGAATTTTGCCACCTTGAGGGTGATGGGCTGAGCTGCTGCTTCTGTGGGGAAGGGGAGGGATGGTACTGGGACAGAGACCGGGCAGGAGAGCCCTGGGCCCAGCCTGCTGCTCCTGCTGCGTTCAGTGGAGGTGGGGCTGGAGGGCCAGTAGGAACAGCAGCTGCTACTGCTAAAAGAGGCCACCCGCCTAGTTAGCAGGAGCCATTTCTCCCTGCACTCAAGACGGAGGTCGAGCTGACAAAGCAGCTTGGTGCAGCCTAAAAAGCAGGTGAGAACAAATAGCTGCTTGTCCTGCACAAACCGTCACTGGTTTGCAGGGCAATAGCTTTCTGTTTTGATGAAATCCACGGCGTGAAGACGATTGTGGTGAACATGGCTTACCTTCTCCCCATGCACTCCAACACACACCTCAGCAGCTTGACTCCATTCCTTGGAGTGTTGCTCCTGTGAGGTCTGTCCCTCTCCAGAAGATACCCTCTCTGCTAATATTCTCAGCAGGCTCTCTCCCGCTGTGCCTCCCACCATAGTCAACACACTGCTTGGAAACCTTTGAGCTCTTTCCTATGTCTAGTTCTTCCCTTTCTACCTGATTTGAGCAACCTACCGGCAGCAGGGTGACCTGGGCCTGTCAATCACTTTATTTTTATGAAAATCAACAGATACTGCCCATTTTCAATGACTTATTTTCTGTTTCATGTTCTTACTAGTGCAAGGAAATGAACAGACTCTCTGAGCTGTAGATAGTAAGCATCTCCTTGGCCACAAATTGATTGATACATTTTGGAAAGGGAGGTGTTAATACCTTCAGACATGCATTTTCCCTTGTGCAGAAACTTCGCTTCGGGATGTTGACACTCGTAGCTCTTCAGGTGACAGTAAGTATGGAAGTACTTTGCATTGGTAGAACAAACCGAAGAGCCATTCTTTGGGCACTGGTAGGGAAGCTTACAAAGGCATTTTCCCTCCACACATCGTTCCCATGGGTGACAAAAAACTTTCTCACAGGACTTGTGTGTGTATTGGTTGCTTAAGCATTCTTCTATGAGGTACGCGTCTTGCTCAGCTGGCTGGGCAGGCTCAACCTGCTGAAACTGGTTTTCTTCAGCATTAGATGCTGCATTCTGCAAGGCGCAAAAATAAAACAAAAGGGAGTAAGACTAGGAACTGCACCGAGTTCTGCAGATGCCCTTACTGACCTCAACAAAGCGTTCATTCATAAGCCTTTTCCTATCTTACGAGCACAAAGGTGCTAAATATCATTTATAGCGTTTGTTCCCTTGCCTTTGGCCACCTCATCTTTCTCAGTTTTCTGACCTTTTTTTTTCCTTTTGGATCATTCACCTGGGGTGATCTGCACTCTTACTGGTCTCCCACAAACTTTATACACTCTTTACTCTTCAAACTTCAGCTGAATTGCACAGCAGATTATAAATATTTTTTAAGCCAATGGTTTATAACACACCACAGCAACGGGATTGTAAGCAAATCAAAACATAAGGGGACTTAAACACCAGAAAAATAAAAAAATTAGCAACTTGTTTTTTTCTGAGACTTTTATTGGCTTTGTTGGCTTTGGGCTTAAACATCACCTGTAAATATTTATGAACTACCTAGAAGGAAAGAAGTCTAAAATTAATTGTTTCACCTTGTGACTGCTGAAGTAACAAGTCTCGTAAAGAAATTTGAAAATTAAGTGCCCTTCCTTATCAGCTCTTTTCCTGTATCTTGCACAGCAGTGGATTTGCAATGTGGCTGCTGGTCATCACTGAGCTTTGGGCTTAAACATCACCTGTAAATATTTATGAACTACCTAGAAGGAAAGAAGTCTAAAATTAATTGTTTCACCTTGTGACTGCTGAAGTAACAAGTCTCGTAAAGAAATTTGAAAATTAAGTGCCCTTCCTTATCAGCTCTTTTCCTGTATCTTGCACAGCAGTGGATTTGCAATGTGGCTGCTGGTCATCACTGGACTGCAAGTACAGATTCTGACCCCCCGTCCGTCTGCCTCTAGGCGAGTGACTCTACACCTGCGTTTGTGCAGCTCTCTGGTGACTTTGTTGCTGGCTGAGTGCTTTTTCTTTCTAAGATCTATGGGTAGGAAGAATGTTGAGACATGAAAAATATATATGGGTGGACTTCGCATAAAAATGGGAGGGAAAAGTTAGCTCTCAAATGTGATTTATCAGCTTTGACTGCGTCAACTGAATCAATAGAGCTGAAGTTTAAAGTTCTCGTGAAGAAATCCTGGCCATAGTAAAGTCAGTGGGGATGTTGTTGGGGCAGAATTTAATCCAATAAACCCCCTTTTAATGGTTGTATAATCTTACTAAATTCTTCCTGCTCTTCTCAGGTCAGTAGAATCCAAACTGTGAGCCAGATCCGGCTTGGCATAACACCCATATTGTACTAGGCGTTTCTGCTGAATAGGAACAAAAGGTGCTGATTTTTATCTAAGGGTTTCTCTGAAAGGCTCGGGGCACGCTGAACGTTCAGCCCAGGTGGACTCTCTGGGACACTTCTCCTAGAAGAGACTCCGCAGCAAACCTTCAGGCAGTACGAAATACCATGTTGCCGTGTTAGAAGACTGTAATCTCACTTCTCAAAAAAGGGGGGCAGGGAAAATTGCAGCACCTTTCTGTGGTCAACCATGTTTGCAAACTGGGTTTAGGGTAGGATCACGATTAAAATCTTTTCCAGAAGCCTGTTAGCATAAACCCCAGATGGAATCAATACATGAAAGAGAAATAGCAAGCTTCAAACATTCAAGCTGGGCTAAAACAAATGTACGAAACACAAATACTGTGAAACTTAAAAACATCAACCGGTTTTGCTTTTATAACAACAAACTGCTTTTTAACTGTTCTTTTTTTTTTAAAAAAGACTGCTGCCACAATAAAATAAATTCTTACCTCTGATCCACAAAAACAAGAGAGAGACAAGAAAACCAAGAAAACCGGGACCACTCGCATGATGAAATTTTATCTCTCCTTGTAGACAAATTCCTTTGGCTGGCATTCTTTTGAATGTCAGTTGTTAGATTTGTGTTTAATTTTTAACCATTAGTAAAATATTTTAAAGTGTGTTTAGACATGAAGTACAGGAGCCTCAACTATTAACTGATAAATCTGATCTCTCCAAAAGGATCCCGCCTCAATTTAACTGGTTTTACTCTAAGTGCAGGACAAGGTAACAGAAATAAAGCCCTTGAGGTAACGGATTAAAAGGAAGCGCTTATTACGGATACGCATTTCCCTTCTTTCGCCAGAGGAGGCTGATGGAACCATCACGCTGGTTCTCCTGATTGTAGGCGCTCATCTTTGCCAGATAATTGTAGAAGATAAATGTGTTTTTATGTAAGAGACATGTATGCCTTCATACATACGGAGGGAGAGAAACGCTCGCATCCACGCCATGTCCATCGCGTACTCAGCTGGATTACAGGCTCATACTACACGGTTCCTATAGAGAATTTTCAAGTATTCGACAAACGCTTGAAGTACTCTTCTGAAAGTCGGTTTCCAGGAAAACTTTAATTAAAGCCAGGGGAACCAAACCACCCCCTCCCCAAATCACTGCGCAGCCCAAAGGGCGGCAGCAGAACTGCTCTCCCGCACTGGGGCTGCAGAGGCGCTCGCTCTTTCTTCTCCGTAGCGCTAGGAAGCGCGCACTCACACGGGTTTTTGGAGCTCGGGGCATCGCCCCCGTGCGCTCGGACCCAAACCGGGGCTCCCAT